AGATTTTCTTTTAAAATGATGCGTTCTTCTCCTAAAAAAGTGATTAAAAAAATAATTTATCATTGGTCACCATTTGTTGGTAGTAAAATAAGTATATAAAAATGATAGGGTGAGATTTCTCCCCAATTCACTAGTTGGATTAGTGGAGTAACGTTAGATATTCTAAAAATTTTATTAAATTTTTTATCAAATATCTCACATAAATGTGAGATTCACATTTATATAATTTAACCACATCAATTCCAAACAAATCTTCTTATATTCATGTGCTAAATTAGTATATTTTTTTTGTCTTTTTATGAAAAAAATGAAATATAGATTAGGCTTGAAGTGATGTGGTAGAGAGGTGATATGACCTAAATGAGATGATTATGACTCAAATAAGATAATATGTTAAAATAACATATACTATTTTAGTACATGCCAAATACCCCTCACTCTTTCATTGTTTGAGAAAGTATTTTATATAACAGGTGCGTCATGTAATAATATGACGTAATATACCATTTTACTTATTAATTGACATGTGATTAAAATAGGATGTGAGAAGTTACTTTTTGCTTGATAAAATGCTAAGCGTTCAATTGCATCAAACTTTGGTCTCATTTTTAAGTAAGGCCAAGTTTGGGAAGACTAAATAAGTGCACTTTTTGACTTTTTATGAAATATGGGTTGGATTTGGGTTGGGTTTGAAGTGATGTGTTAGAGAGGTGATGTGACTTAAATAAGATGATGTGATTTAAATAAGATAGTGACTTTTTGACTTTTTGAATTTTTTGAAAGATGCCAAACTTGGCCTAAATGTCAATGAATGAGTTGAGAGGTGACACCACGTCATCTCGGTCATATATGGCATACCCATTATAATAAACAGATATGATATAGCTTACTGAGCTGGCATGCACCTCACCAAAAAAAAAAAAGAAAAAAAGAAAAAGAAAAAGAAGGCACAAACTAAAATAATCTTTAGGCTCATCTTTTATCTTTTAGTGCTCTAAATTATTTTTTTTATAATAAAATTCTCTCCCACTTATTAAATGTAACTTAATAAATAAAAGAATGTATCACATCATCTCATGATCTCAACCATGGACTCATTACACAACATAATACACATCATCATTTTTATTTGTTTTTTTCCAATAGAATATATTACGTTGTTCAGAAGTTTATTACATGTTTGGGAATTAGACCATATCAATTTTTTCTTGCACACAAATATATCATCATTTTTATTTTTTCAATTTTAATTTTTGCTTTGCTTTGCAATTACATTTTAGTATTTATCTATAGAGTGAACCTGGTTCTAAAACGTCAAAAAAAATTTAAAAACCAAAACTCTGTTTGATTTAGTTTTTGAATAATTTGATTTAGTTTTTGAATCATGATTTGAGTTTTGAGCTATATTTTGAATTTTGAACTTTTAAAATGATGAAAAGAAAAAATTTGTTTGGTTATGAGTTTTGAAAAAAGTTTTAAAAAATGTTTTGAGTTGTATTTTGAGTTTTGAGTTTTAGAGTTTTGAATTGTATTTTGAAATTTATTAGGTTTATTTTTTAAAATATTTAAAAATTTTCTTAATTAAACTTTTTTATGATAACTATTTTTTATTGTAAATATTTATTTGTTTTTTTAATGTGTGTTGTATTACTACATTTGTGTGTTGTATTTTTTTTTTAAATATTTTAAATATTTACAATTAAATTTTTTTTAAATATATAATTTTTATTTTAAATATTTTTTTATTTTTTTGTTTGAAATATTTTATTTTATTTTTTAAAAATATATATATATCTATCTATACTATTATAAAGTGAACACCTCTTATGGTGTCCTGAAGCTTTACTCTCCTCATGCCGTGTGACAATATTTTTTATTTTTAACTCTCCTCATGCCGTGTGGCAGTATTAGTATTTTTTATTTTTAACTCTCCTCATGCCGTGTGGCAGTATTTTTTATTTTTAAAAAAAAAGTTAAACAAAGAGATGGGCAAGGCTTGAACTCATGACCACGGGTTTAAGTATGAGGATTCATACCACTTAAGTTAAGTACACATTATAATATTAATTTTATTATTATTTTTTTTATTTCTACTTATTTAAATTGCACACACATCGTGTGTGTGCCACCCACTATATATATATATATATATATATATATATATGTATGCAACAAATTTGCAAGATTTCTTCTACTATAGTTGTCCTCTTTCCTCCATTTTATGTCTTTGTCAGAATGCGGAAAGCCTTATGCTGGTGACCTCTTTTCCATAAATGACATATATAATTATTTCATTGTTTGATTGGAACCCCGATTTCTTGCTTCATTGCGTGTGATTATTCATGCTTTCATCAAATATGGAGTTACTTCTATGTGTGTGAATATTATATATATAGCTTTATAAATAGCTTGTGTATGCATAATGCAGGTTTGGGTTTGGATTGACATGCGAGTCTACTTCGAACCCTAACCGACCCCAACCCGGCTCAGGCCGTACCCAACCTTGATCTGCCCCTCGGAGTATTTGTATGCACAAATCAAAGGGGAGTGATTGAAAAATACAGAGATTGTAATTCTTCACTTCTTGTTGCCTCGGTCTCTCTTCCTCTTCTCTTGGATTTGTCATATATGATTTCATTCCATTATATTTCTCAACTGCTTCAAGAAATTGAATCTTCCATCCTTTTTGCTCAAATCTCCTTCCCATCCTTTTTTTGCGGTACAAATTCTAGAAATTTGAGCCTTGGATTCCCGTAATAAAGTCAGGAAATCCTCGATTTGTTGTTAACAAAGGCTTGTTCATGTTTGTAACAGTAAAATTCATTTGATTGACTACTATAATCATCTCTTGACTCAGTAATCATATAATGATCCTGTAATTAGATTGTACTTCTGTTTGCTTATTTTCTTTTGGCCCAATTTTCCATGGTTTGAATTGCAGCTGGATGATGTTGAATCTTTTAATCCTGTTGTTGACTTTCACTCTGAACTAGTGAAATTTTTTTTTTACCATTCAGCAGTTCAGTGGCTGCTAAAATGCAAGAATGATGTTAGAAAACTTCTGTTCTGTTGCATAATCGTGTGGTTTAATTAACTTTCTCATTCTTTTATAACTAGATTCACAGCATACCTTCTAATATTTCAATCCGGCTATGCACTAATCTCTTAACTTACTTTCTACTGTTTTCTTTGATTTTTTGCTTTGTTTTTCATATGGTTATATATTTTAGGGAAAATTACAAAAAAAGGCCCAACGTTTAAACCTTGTACAAAATAAAACTTGAGTTTTTAATTTTGTCAATTGAAATCCTAATATTTTCAAGGATAAATTATGTAAATAGTCTCTATAATTTACACGATGTGTCAATTTAGTCCATGTAGTTTCAATTTACTCGATTTTGCCCCTTAATTTAACGGATTGTGTCATTTTAGTCTAATAAATAACGGTTGTTAAGTTAATTTAACGGAAGGTCAAACAATGTGTCAATTTAGTCTCTGTACTTTACACGATGTGTCAATTTGGTTCCTGTAGTTTCAATTTTCTCGATTTTGATAGGGACTAAATTGATACATTGTGCAAAATACAGGGACCAACTTGACACATTGTTTGACTTTCCGTTAAATTAACTTAACAACCGTTATTTAATGGACTAAAATGACACAATCCGTTAAATTAAGGGACAAAATCGAGCAAATTAAAATTACAGGGACCAAATTGACACATCGTGTAAACTACAAGGACTATTTACATAATTTTCCCTATTTTCAATATAAACCTTCTGTTTATTTTACCAACAAAAACATTTCGTGCTCGTTTATTTGAAAGATGGTTTGCTACTCCCAAGTAGGCTTAAAATGCAGATTTTGCCATCCTCAGCTGGGCTTAGAAAAGATGGTTTTGCCACTATGTAGTGGGCTTAAAACAAACAGTTGATGATTTATTCCAATCCAAGTAACCCAACCTTCACCCACAGGCATTCAGGCAGTTTTTTTTGGGTGAATAAGACATAAATAAAAGACAAAGAATATACAAGATTACAAGGGGAATACCCCAGGCCCTAAATCAGCTATACAGCAAAACAGACACCATAAGCAAACTAAAACAATGTTCAGTATCCATATCTAAGAAAATAGGGAAAATGAACATTGCGAAAACAAAAGGGTATGACATACCCTCAAAACCACAAACCAGCAGCAACTAAGCCGACTGAATACAACCTGAGACAACGAGGCACATAAAAGTCTATCATGTGTAATCCAGAAACTAAAGTAATGGCATGAGGCCGAGACATATCAACAAAAGACCTAGTACATCCCACTAGGGTAGGCTTAACAAAATATTGTGCAATGTAAGTTAAAGACACCATAAAGAAAGATAGTAATATAAAAGAAGACAACTTGTAAACAACGAGGCGCATCCAGCAGCCATCGGCACTTGACAGCCACTTGTAACTCAAAAACAGCAGCCCAAATTCCCAATTATCAACCCAGCAGGTAGCAGCACCTATCGGGTAATCAGCAGCATACACTAGAGCATCGGACAGCATCTCCATAAGCATCAACACCACAGCCAAGCAGCCCAAAGTTTGGTGAAGATAGCAGAAATTCTTTAAACATAGTAGAATTTCCTGCCAGTAACAAGAAACCACAACCCAAATCACGAAAGCCCAATAAAATCCAATAATAAGGATAATGCACACATATTGTAAACTCTCATCACTCGGCCCACAGTATAGGACCTCACAACACTCGAAAACTGCTTCCTTATCCTGCAAATAAAGAGATAATATATATATACTGGTTAGCAAATAAAACATATGTAGGCTATTTTCACTCAACCCTCAAATATTCCATTGATGATACCAAAATGTCTAACAGATTTGAAGTTTATGACTCATATCACTCAACCCTCAATCTATAGAGCTGCACAAGACACAAACAGTTAGAAACCCCACATTATGAATCTCACCAACTCTCAACTCTCATTTGAGAAACTCCCATCACTCAGCAGCCCTCCCAATACGAACAGTATGGGGCTTCAGAATGGAATCAGTCAAATTCCATTGCTTTAAGAACCATTCATCACCTGCATATCTAGGCAAATTGTTTAATGACATTAGCCTGCCTCTAATCATTTGAACAATTGACTTGATAACAACTTCTTCAGGTTTCATTTCCTTATTAAAAATTCTGTTATTTCTTTCAATCCAAACATGATAAACAGTACACAGCAGAGCCAGTCTAGTAGTAATGGCTCTCAAAGATTTACCCAGACTCTCCTTCATAGCAACATGAACAATATCAGGCCAAAAAATGTCAGGCCACTTTACATTACACTTAACTTTAATAGCATCCCAAACCTTAAGAGAGAAAATGCAATTAAAGAAAAGGTGAGAGTGGTTTTCAGTGTGATGATTGCAAAAGGAGCATTTGAAATTATCACTCAGACCAAAAGATTCTAACCTGTCCCCAGTGTTAAGCCTTCCATGTAAGGCAATCCAGACAATGAAACTAACTCTAGGGATATTGAATGGACCCCACAACAGTTTATACTAAGCCACCTTATCATGTTTATCTCTCCAGTGGTTCCAAGCAGATTGGATGGAGAATATACCATCTTGAGTAAGAGTCCAAATAGGAGTATCATTACTCGAAGATCTGGGTTTAAAAGAAGGGGGGGTCAACGATATAAGGTCTCTCATCTCCCAAGAGTTGGGAAAAGGCCAGTTCCAGGAATCCCCATTAACAATATTGCTCACTTTAGCCTCCCCAGAGAGACCAGAATCATAGATAATCCTATTCCCAAATTTGTCCCAAATAGAGCCCACCGGATGCCAATTATCATGCCACAAAAAGGTAGCATTACCATTCCCAATTTTGTGGACAATGAGAGGAAATATAGACTTCCTAAGAGAAAGAATCTTCCTCCAGACCCAAGAAGGGTCACTAGGAACAGGGACTTTCCAAAAACTTTTGCCTTTGAGTAAGTAAGATTTAACCCATTGGCACCACATCGACTTCTCACCCCCCGAGAAAAGGAACCAAATATGTTTGGCAATAGCAGCTCTATTCCAAACCTCCAGAGATTTAAAACCCAGACCACCTTCAGACTTGGGAGCACAAACCTTATCCCAAGCAATTTTCGCACTATGCTTCTTCAGATCAACCCCGGACCAAAGAAAGGCTCTAAGTAAATTTTCAATTTCTCTAACAACCTTCTTAGGGAGGATGAACAACGAGGACCAATAGACTTGCATGGAGAACAGGATGGTTTGAATAAGCTGAGCTCTACCAGCATAAGAGAGGGCCTTATTGGTCCAACTCTTAATACGGTTAGTGATCCTATCAATAAGCTGCTGGCAATCTAATGCTCTCAACTTAGTGGTGATTAAGGGAACACCCAAGTACTTGACAGGGAGGGTACCTTCCTTGAAATTTGTAATCTTGAGAATTTCCTCCCTAAGACTAGAGTCACACTCGCAGAAAAATATGTTACTCTTGGCAGCACTAGGAGTAAGACCCGAAAGATTCTTGAACTCCTCAAGCCCATGCATAATCATCTGAACAATAGATGCATCCCCTTTGCTGAATATTATTAAATCATCAGCAAAGCACAAATTAACAATCTTAGTCTTCTCACATCTCCAATGGAATTTAAAAAGATGATGCTTGGATTTCTCGGCAAGGATTCTAGCCAGGATTTCCATAGCCAAGACAAACAAATAAGGAGACAAAGGGTCTCCCTGCCTAAGGCCTCTTGCGCCCTTGAAATAGCCATGAAGGCTCCCATTGATACATATGGAAAACGATGGACTAGTGATACAATCCTTAATCCAGGAAATCATAGAGGGTGGAAAGGCCATGGCCTTTAGGACATCAATAATAAACTCCCATCTAACAGTATCGTAGGCTTTCATAATGTCAACTTTCAGAGCACATTTAGGAGTAACGGGCTGACGATGATAACCTCTCATAAGCTCTTGGGACAAAAAAATATTATCAGAGATCCTCCTACCTTGCACAAAAACAGATTGAACAGGGTCAATCAAATCAGGGAGGACAGCCTTAATTCTGTTAGCAATAATCTTGGCTATGCACTTATAGATTGTGTTGCAACAAGAAATAGGCCTAAAGTCACCCACTCTCAAAGGATTAGGAACCTTAGGAATGAGAGCAATAATAGTGCTGTTAACCTCAGAGAGAAGTTTACCAGACTGGAAAAAGGTTCTAATTGCTTGAGTAACTTCCTTCCCAACAATGTCCCACGAGGCCTTAAAAAAACTACCCGTAAAACCATCCGGGCCAGGGGCTTTATTAGCCTTAAGGGACCAAACAACATCTTTGATCTCTTGATCGGAGACAGGATTACCAAGCTTTATAGATTGTTCCACAGAGACTCTAGCCTAAACCAGAGAATTAATCTTTTCAAAACCATTGTACTGGTCCCTGAGCGGGGTACCAAAAAGGTTTGTGAAAAAACTAATGAAGGCTTGATGAATGTCTTCAGGCTTAGATGATTTGCTACCATCCTCCAACTCAATGCTAAGGATTTTACTTCTGTTAATATTGCTCTTAACAGATCTAAAAAAGAATTTGGTGTTCCTATCCCCCAGACCCAACCAATCAACCCTGGACTTTTGATGGGCAAGACTCTCCTCCACAGCACATAAATCCACATAATGCGCCTGTAGTTAGTTCTCTCAAGATTTTGCAAAATCAGATTGCTCGGATCCTTGTCCAATTTATATTGAACAGATTCAAGGTCTGACTTAGCAACAAGGACTCTAGTAGATATGTCACTAAAATCTTTCTTGTTAAGGTCTCTCAACCCAGGTTTCAAATTTCTAAGCTTTTGACAGACTCTGAACATGGGAACACCCTGAATATACTGACTCCACTCGTTAGAAACCAGAGAAAGAAAGTCCTTATGCTTGGACCAGAAATTAAAGAACTTAAAAGGTTTCTTGTAAGAGGTGACAGCATCAGAAACAACCACTACAACAGGAGAGTGGTCAGAGATTGTGGAAGGTAGAAAAAAAGCAGTAGAGTTGGGAAAATTATCCAGCCAAGACTCATTAACCAAAACTCTATCAATTTTAATGGCAATATACTCCCCACAATCCCTCTTGTTAGCCCAAGTAAATTGGCAGCCAGAGTAGGACAAATCATCAAGCTCAAAGGCAATAATATAAGAATTAAATTCCTCCTTCGAAGAGTTCCAAATCTGAGAGCCTCCAAATTTCTCATGACTGTATCTGGTAGCATTAAAATCCCCTAAAAAGGCAATGGGACAATTGGACTGAGAATGGGATAAACGAACCATGGTTTCACAAAAAACCCTTCTCACAGAGTAGTTATTATCAGCATACACAAAACAGGCAAGGAAACTAGAGGCCTGAGTGAAATCAGTAATCTCACAAAAAATATGTTGGTCAGAGGCAGATAGCTGGTTGACCATACAAAAATTGGAGTCCCAAAAAACACAAATTCTACCAGTTTCATTAGGTTGTGAGTTTGACAAAAATGACCAATTCTTTAAACAAGAAGAGAAAATTTTCTTTTCATTTACAGCTTTTATTTTGGTCTCCAAAATACCCATGACTTTAATTTCTTCTTTAACCACAAAATTTTTTAACTCTCTATGTTTAGAAGGGTCATTCAACCCTCTAATATTCCAAGCAGCTATTTTAAAAGTCATAGAGAACAAAAGACAAAACAAAACCCACAACTAAGAAACTGAGAATTACCTCTTCTTTTTCCTCTGGCTACTGCTGCTCTTGCCAGAGGATTTACCTTTTGCTGGAAGATTGGGTACAGGACTAGCCTTAGGACTACCAAGATTTGAAGGTATGGGGTGAGTGACCTTATTTTATAGTAGTAGTCAAAGAATTTTTGATTGAGTTCTCATATGTAGAAACCTTAGTTCTATTGGATTTGGGATTTAAAACAATCCAACTTTTCCCAGATAGTCACACCTTAGCACATTAGGAAACCACAAATCTAACTTTCCAATATGACTTTGGATTCCAAATATAGGAACTCAACCAAAATTAGGAAACTAAAATGGGTTTTCAAAATATGGAAACTCAAAACGGCTATAAAATCAAGTAATCTTGATCTTCATCATCTCCATTCCAACAATCTCATTCTAACTCTCTCTTTCTAGCTTTTGTCAATGGCAACTATATCAACAGACTACAACATTCAGATGTATCCATTACCATGGATCGACTCACTTCCTGAAACTCCAGTTCTTGTCAAAATTCACATGACCCATGTTCTCAAACTACAGGTCCGAACTCCTCAAGGCAATATCAATACCAATTATCCCACATTCACTGCTCCAGATTTTCAAGATTCCTTCACCATTCCTTATCACTCTCTCTCCTCCATCGCTTCTTCCGAATTCTATATTTTCCACCGACTCTACGACATGGGATTCGATCGTAGTTTATGCGATCTCCTGAAGCAGCATATCATCGATTCCATATTCGATCTTGATAGGTTGCGATTTGGGAACCATAGTGGGATTCAAGTCACTGCTCGGTTCAAACTCACCACCACAACGACTTACGATCAGATGGTCTCTACGTTGGCAGAGGAGGTGGTGATTATGGAGGATGGTGGTGGGTCTGTACAGAGGAGGAGGGGAGCTTCGAAAGCCACCATTGATGGGCTGAAGAAAGTGGTGGTGTTCAATGGTGGAGTAGATGATGAAAAGTTCAGGACTTGTGCTGTTTGTTTGGAGGAGTTGGAGGAGCAAACAGAGGTTACTTCCATGCCCTTTTCTCATGTTTTTCATTATGGTTGCATTGTGCCATGGTTGAAATCACATAATTCTTGTCCGATGTGCCGATATGAAATTCGAGATCTATAATTATTTGGTTATTTATATATTTTTACCTTGTAAACAAAAAAATAGATAATTTTGATAGATTCTTGCAAAATTTTGTATGCTTGTTTATTATGATTTAAGTTTGATTTTTGTTTTAATTGTTGATTGTTTGATTGTGTTTAAATTTTTCTTCATTCTCAATAAGTCCAAAAATAAACCAGTCAAATTCAAACAGTAAAAAAATTTTTAATCAGAATTTTACTTTACCTAAAATTTCAAAACAAGTAGAAAAATTCTATACCACGGAAGTTACAATTTTTAAAAATGAGGTATTCTTTAAAAAAACACAAAAATGATGAGAAATAATTTGTTGTTGATCCCATTGATTAGTAATAAAATAAGCATATGAAAAATGATAGGGTGAGATTTCCCTCGAATTTACCAATTGGACCAGTGGACAGGGTCCAATTTAGGGGGAGTAATCTCTTAACTTACCATCTACTGTTTTCTTTGTTTTTTTTTTTTTCTTTCTTTTTCATATGGTTATATATTTTATGGAAAATTAAAAAAAAAAAAAAAAGCCCAAAGTTTGAACCTTGTACAAAATAAAATTTAAAATTTTAATTTTGTCAATTTATTTTCTAATGTTTTCAATATAAATCATCTGTCTATTTTTCCAACAAAAAAGAGTATTTTAGATTTTTTATATATACTTACATTAAATTTAATGATTAAAATATAATTTTCGGTCGATTTTACTTAATGAAAATAGAATTATGGTTTAGATTAAAAACATTAGGGTTTAAATTTATAAAATTAAAAATTCAAAGTTTCTTTTGTTAGAATGATCAACTCTTTTTGTTTTTTTTTTTTGTTTTTTTTCCTGTAATTTTTCTTACATTACTACTCTCTTATTTTTATTAAAAAAATTTGAACACAACATGGACTGATTGTGTTATTGATTTTGGTATTGAGCGGTGTTTTGGAAAGTTGGTAAAAAGTTGATTTTTAAAATTTTTTTTTTTGTTGTAGCTTTTTGGTTTTTTGTGTTAAAAACCTAAAAAGCCAAAAAACTGTATTTTTTGGAAAGTTGCCAAAACACCCGTCAATTTCATTGTTTCATGTTTCTCATTTATATTGGTTGCTTCTGTTTCTCGTTTTTTTTTTTAGGGAATAAAATTATATTTACTGATTTTGAATATATAAAATAATTGATTTTTTTTTTTTTTAAACAATCTTATTGATTAAATTTTAGATTTTCCATGTATTCGTTTGTTCTCTTGTTAAATACATTCTCACACAAAAATATTTAAACTAACAAAACAAGGGAATACCACAAATCTTTTATGTAATTAGAAAACCTGTACGAAAAGGAAATTTGAAAACAATTAACAATAAAAAGAAAAATCAAACTTAAACCCTAATAATGAACCTAATACAATAGTTTTCAAGAATCAATCAAAACTACCAAATCTGAAACCAATAATACTACGATGACCAGGTTATAACACCATATATGATCATCATAAAAATGTTATCAATCTGGAACTATGGATCGACATGTGGGACAAGAATTATGTGATTCCAACCGGGACACAATACAGCGATGATGAAAAAGATGATAATATGGCATGGACGTAAGCTCTGTTCCCTTCCCAAATTCCTCTAAACAAACAGCACGAGTAGTGCACTTTTCATTGTCTCCTTCACCATTGAACACTGTCACTTTCTTCAACCCATCAATGATGGCCTTTGAAACACCCCTCTCCGTCCTCGTCCTCATCGTCTCTTCAGTTCTAAGACCACCATCATCATTCACGATAATTGCCCCATTTGTGGCTATCGTCTCTACAATTCCAATATTACCATCATCGTTCATGATAATCGCCCCATTTGTGGCTAATAGATTCATCATTAGATCGTCTATCAATTGTGCAGAACCCAACCTGAGCGTGGTGGTGATCCTCAAATGCACAATGACTTGAAACCCAGGACTCTCCCCATATGCAATAATCAAACTGGAAAGAGAACTGATGATGCGTTCCTTCATGGAATTACAGAGTTCGAGATCGAATCCCATGGACGAAAGTTGGTTGAAAACATAGGGATCCCACGAAAAGAAGAAGGGAAGAAGTTGAAGTGGAATGGTGAAGTCATGTCGAATATCAGGAGCAATTAATAATGTAGGATAACTGGATTCGACATTGCCTTGACAAGTTCAGAGCTGTAGTTTAACTAGATTGTTGACATAAATTTTGATGAGCGCTGCAGTTGGAACTCGAACTAGAGGTAGTGAGTTAATCTGTAGTGGGTTGATCTGTGGTGTCGCATATGTTTCAATGTCATAGTTTCTTGATATAGTTTCCATGATGAAGCTTGAGGGAGAGAGTTTTAGAATGGTGACTATGAAGGTATGGGGTGAGTGACCTTATTTTATAGTACTAGTCAGAAGAGTTTAATTTTTGGTTGAGTTATAGTATTTAGAAACCTAAGTAATATTGGACTTAGATTTGGTTTCTTAAGCTTCTAACTTTGGTTGGCTTTCCATACTTCAAATCCTAAATTATATTGGAAACTGAATTTCGTTTCTTACTCTATGTTGTATATATGTATAGAGAGAATTCTATCTACCATGGAATTTTATCTCAAAAATAATCCCTAATGTTAAATGTATTTTATAAATTTATAATGTGTATTCCACTCAAAATAAATGTGATTCATAATTTATAATTTCGTTTCTTAATATCACTCTGTCTCAAACCATCCTTCATAACCCACCACCTCCATCTGTCACATCTATGAACGTCTATGCTGCAACCGCCGAACCCATGTCCACCAAATCATTACCCAAATCTTCACCACACCACTGTGCCAGCCTCCATAAATGAGATGGCGAAGCTCTCTGTCAATGTTTACTGTCACGATCACCGACGAACCATTTGAGATTGGAGGGTTTGTGTGATTGATCGATTTATTATGTGATTGGGTTTGGCGAGTTTCTTGAGAGATTGAGGATAAGATTGTTGTGTGATTGGGTTTGGTGTGGTGTTGGTGTATTATGTGTTATGCTGGTTGTGTTGTATGTAGTAAAGAAAACGCCCAGTTCATGATTACGGTTATTTATTTCGTAATTATTAGTACGTGTTATGTTGAAATTCTGGTGCTCTTTTGTTTGTTGTTACTTGTTGTGGGTGTGTTGACTGGTTGTTAATTTTACCATTTGTTTTTGGGATTTTGCATTAGTTGTTTTGCACTGGATTATTTCATCAAAAGTCTTATGCACATTACATGTTTGATTAATTGATTTAAAGAAGTAATTTTCTCTGAACATGATGGCCTAAGCCTGCTTTGGTTTGTTAGGTGGTGATGTGGTAATGCATGGTGGTGATGTAAAGCAAGGAGAGAATGATGATTGATTGTTTGTATGAAAAAAGCAAAATAATCAGAGAAGGAAATAAAAAAGAGAGGGCAAAATTGGTATTTAGAAAAGGGTAATATAATATTATCAAAAATCATCAATTGACTTAACAGTCAACTAACATAAGGGGTCTATTCAAAAAAACAAAAAAACTAACATAGGGGTAATTTGTAATGTGACTTTAAATGTCAGGTAGGGAGTTGCAATTTTTAGAACGTGAGCGGAGAGAGAATCTGCATTAAGTGTAAATTTTAAAGGGTGTGATGAGACCGAAAAGTACCATATTGAGGCCACTGAAATTACATTTTTAGTCTTTTAATATTGTTTATTTAATGGAGATGATGTGTTTTGTGCACTTGTGTAATGCCCCAACTTCCGGACCGTTAAATACGTACAATAATACAACACAAGTAGGATAGATAACCAAAACATCTTAATATACATATATAACCAGAGTTAATATCACAGGTAATTCGTTTATGTTCCATTACAGAATTACCAAAACATTGCCAAACCAAAAGTCAAAAGAAAAAAAAAAACAACTAGTCTAAGTCTTCAAATGAACCACAGCTCCAACACTTCATCATATTTGTCTTCAAAATAACCTTCACCATTGTAAACTGCTTCATCACCTGGCATGACACGCCATGAGCTTGGAATGTCCAGTAAAAACACACACATCCCCCATATCTTCTATCAACCAATCAACCATACACAGAACAAATTGGGTAACATAACTTATAATATTACAACAAGGTTTTATGAATTAGTAGTTAGACTAGACGACTAGAATCCCCCAAAGAGATCCTTCTACCCAACCACAAGGATTGAACACCGGACTATTCAGAACTCCCCCTTTTGCTGCTTTGCAGACCTTACCATATATGCCCACCTCCCGGTTATTTACCGGTCAATGACTTTGATGGACCTCAAAAGGGACGGCCAAACAAGTGGGCTCGCTTACACCAAAATCGTGCGTAGGGCTCACTTACACCCTGCACATACCATATCAAATCATGCCTAGGGCTCGCTTACACCCTGCACATACCATACCAAAGGGCTCGCTTACACCCTGAAACCACCGCATAGAGTCTGAATACATCCGTGTCAACCTAGGGGCTCGCTTAGACCGCTTGTATAGGACTTAACTCATTTGGTTTTAATTCCATTCACATGTTTATTACATAAATCATTCTGAAGCACAAGGGTGAATGTCACCCATTACCAACCCCTTTCCATTTCCCATTTCCCATTTATTAGATCTTTTGCCAAGCAAGCTAGTCACATTCGGTAATTCGGTAATATAAAAGAGCATGAGACAAACATAAGAAATGAAATATAGCCCATGATAATCATACATAGGTATGGTAAGGCAAGCAAACAACATTAGGCATGCTTTAAAACACTTAGAGACAAACAACACAACAAAACACCATTTCCAGCATTGTTCGGTTCTGCAGGTCTAACAAGAGTGCTTTGGGAAAAATACGTCTAGGTCAAATTAGGGGCTGAAATTGCACAGCAATAATAATTAACCTGTCTAGTTTCAATTCCAATTTACAGAATGTGCATAGCACCTCCAGAAATTCATCTACAAGCTATATTCTAAAACCTGTCCAGATTTGTCATCCGTTGGGAAAACTAGTTTTCCTCTCAATCTATCCAATGATTTTCACCCAAATAAATTCCATTGAAAAGAGGACTCAAAACCCTAAATTTTTATAGAAGAACCAACCTGAGATGATTTTTCTGGAATTTTATAAAATTGCAAGAAGTGGACTGTTTTTCAGAGACTTAGGACCAGATATTTAAACAAGGTATCCAAGCCCTAAAAACACACAATTAGGGGATAATAAAATTACCAAAAGCTCTAAACACACCAAATATCTCACACTAAATTCAGAATTAAGAAATAAGTAAATTTGATATTTCTTTTAAATTAGAGAAATTGCAGCAGTGCCTAATTTGACAAATTTGTAAGGCAAAGTCACTAAATCAAACCCACACTCTTATATACATCAAAAACCCTATTTCCCATTAACATGCAACACAAGAGGGCATCTAACAATAGGATGGGATGGTGAAAGAATTGGAGAAGAGAAGGGGAAGAAGTGTTCTTACCTTGACTCAAGAAGGTACCATTTTCTTCCTTTTCTTTTCTTCTTCTTCTCTGCTTCCCTTTAATCACACTCTCCTTCTCTCACCCTCTCCTTGGCTGCTGGTATATGTGTGTGTGTGTGGAATTGAGACAAGGCTCTCAATTTATAGGAAATAAGCTTGGTCTTAGCTTAATGACTAAGGAAGCATAAATATCTAGATATTTTTTTATTTTGTTTTTCAATCAATTTTCCACCAAAATATTATTTGTGACACCTATGTACATATTCAAATAAATAATATTATATTCAAATAAATAATAAATATTCTAATAAATAATAAATAAAATAACAACAAAAAAAATAAAAATAAAAATAAAATGTATGAATTAATTTATAAACTAAGAGGTAAATAAATAAAAACCAAGTTTTAGGGTATTTCCAATTATAAAGTGGTGTTCTTGGTTTAATTTTGATAATATACAGGAAAATTATTCTTTATTGGGCCATTTTGCAGACTTTTACGAAACTAAGTGCTAAAATGTTATTAAACTAAGGCTCAGGGTTTCATGTGTAATTACCAAAAATTAGGGTCTCTAAACTTGTATAGATTTGGCAGGTAACACGCAAATTCAATCAAAAAGTGTGCGGAAGCAGATTCTCCGAGCGAGAAACGAAAAATCCGAGCCAGCTAGACCACCGCACGTGCGGCCAAGCCCTACCGCTCCAGCGGCCCACCTAGGGACACGTGCGCATAATTTTGGGTCTATTTTGTTGAGAATAAAAGGAAGAAAAATAGGCAAAATTAGGGTTCGAAATTTATTTTGGAGAAAAGGGAGACTAGGGTTTTAAAGAAGTGATTTTTTCTCAAGCTTAAAGGAGACTTCCATGGGGGCTTCTTCTTCATCCTCTTTCTCTTCCCACTCCTCCATGAGTGGCTAGGTTATTTTTTTCTAACCCAAGCTATGTAATTAGGTTTTCTTTTTGATTTTTGATTATGTAAAGGTTTAAACAATTGTATAGTGTTTTAGAAGTTTCATATATATATATATATATATATATATATATTTTCCATTATTTCTTCAAGTATTCAGCTTTCTATGATTATTGAATGTTTTTCATACAATAGTTTTCTATTCTTTTACATTCAAGGTATGAGACGAACTATATTACGAGAGACGAGTCGTGTCGCTACCCTAGTTTAGAGTGAACGATTCGTACTACTTGAGATGGTTTATGCCCGCACATTGAACGTGATGATTTTCTTGTTAAATGCTTTGAACTTGTAGTTGCGAAGCATTATTGTAGACACCCCATTTTTGACCGTCCTCAAGACTTGGATGTCACCGCTTGAACACTCGGTGATCATCCATGTTTGTGTTCGTCTTGAGTTCCCGGAGGTCTCGGCTACGCGCCTTGCCTCAAGATCTCTCGACTCGACTGTTTTGTGCCTGGTTTTGCACCAAACACTTGTGCTTTGCCTTGGAGGGGCAGGGAATGGCTTGTGAGCCATCCCCACACTCCACTGGCCATGGCTTGAGGCCACCGGCTGTGTTTTGTTGCCACCGGCCAAATGTTTGGCCGGCCGGCACTATAAATGGCCGGCCGGCTATCGTTTTTTGGTCAATTGCATTTTTGGCCGGCCGATTACTATGCATTTGCTTTTGCAGATAGTTTTGTGCAGCTGGCATACACTTTCCCCCCCTCCATACACGTGTATGGAGGGATTGCCCTCTTGTTAGCTTCCTTTGGAAGCTTTACAAGACCATTTGTCTACAAAAGAGAGGCTCCTCTCTCTTGTTCAAGGGTTAGGGAATTTAGACAACATTTTTAGAGGGTTTTGAGTTTTAGGGTTAGGGTTCATGTATCCTCCATCTCTATATCTCTCTCTCTCTTGTGTTTTGTGTGTGTTTTGTCTTAGTTTTGCACACAAACACCCACCATCACACCTTTTCTTGGAGCTGAGGCCCTTGAGGGTTGTTTTTGGAGTTGTGGAGCTGGTTTGAGCTTGAAGAACCAGCTGGTTCACCATTGGTGAAGAGGGTCTACAAGGGCAAGAAATTTGTCCCTTTATTCCCCATTTTTGCATTGCATTTTTGCCTACCTTGCATCTGTTTTTGAGCTTTGTGTATAACATATAAAAATTTTGATTTTTAGTGCTCTAAATGGTTTGTTAAGGGTGTTTTAAGATTTGGGGTTGTTTGACCCCTCTTAAGGCTTGTTTGAACCTTGTCTTGTGCCATTTCGGTTGAGCTCCGGGACCATTGTGTTTGGGCCTCCTCACCACTGAAATCTTGAGGGATTTCAGAGGTGAGGATGGTGCCTTAAGGTCCTAGGAAGGAGAGGGCCACCCCCTCTCCTTGTTGTCCTTGAAAAGGGCCAT